ATAGCCTTGAGGTCCATGATAGAGATAATGAGCCCCGAGGAAAAAGAATACAGCAAGAGATGCACATCTACTTCATGTCTGATTACTCCACCCAGTTATCAGATATAACTATCCATACTACGCATGTTCCTGCAGCACTCGAGTGAAATCCCGTTACATGCGATTTGGAAGGTTATCATTTTTACTATCATAATCTCGTAGATTCTATGACAATATGCCTTTGATTGATCTTTAACTGGTGCTGTACTGTTTTTATATGCAGTCTCACTGTGCCCTGTAGTAGAAGTTGAACCACCTTATGAAGTAGCATACAAATTTGGTTGTAAAGAATCATGTGGGGATGTTGAAATTCCACTCCCATTTGGAATTCAAGTGGGATGTTATAGGAGTAAATGGTTCAAAGTAACTTGCAACAGAACTGCTGATGGGGAGAAACCTTTCATCAGTAGCATCAATATGCAACTTCTCAATGTTTCGTTTTACGATGGCATAGTTACTGTCAACAATTCAATAACTTATTCCGTGCCCTGGAAAAGATCAAAATAATAATAATAATAGGGTTAGTGCCATTGGTAACCTAGGAGGCACCCCATTTTTCTTCTCACATATCTTCAACAGGTTCATGTTCGTAGGTTGTGGCAATTCGGCTACTTTTCTACTTGGCTCTAATCATGGTACTCGTATTCATGGTTGCAAGCAACCTCCTTGTGGCAATACTATGACTTCAACTGTTAGTTGCTCCACTAATATTCCCCCGGGTCTCAGTTCTTTTGCTGGAAACATCACACGGTTTCGTCCTAGCAATGGCAACAACAGATCATGCAGCTCAGCTTTCATTGCTGACATGCGTTTTCTCGACTCAATCGAGGCAAACTCTGACACCCAATAACACAACAACTAGTTGTGCTTGGACACACGTTCCCACAACACTGGTATGGGGTACACCAAAACGAGGGCTCTACGAGTTGGGAGAAGAATCAGGCACCCTTTGTAGCCCCGATGGTCGATATGATTGGACAAGCTTGAGCCAAGTGCATCTATGTGTTTGCAGCTCGGATAACGTTGAGGACTATGGTTATCTTTCCACTGATATATACCAAGGTATCCCATTAAAACTTTCATTTGTCTTGATATTTCTTAATTAATTTTTTTCTAACTTTTCATTTCATTAACCACAAAGGTCGGTAAATGCGTGGATATGAAATATAAGAATTGTTTCATGCTTTGCTTGAATGCTCCCGGTAACAACTGTTCGTCGTCATGTCCTGCTCGGTACGAATACTCAAGGTTGGAAGATACGTGCAAGCCCAAAGATTTTATCAATTCTTCAAAGTCTTCAAACAAAAAGGTCGAAAGATCTCAGAATTTGCCTGTCATTATAGGTTGCGGCACTAGCATTGGGACGATACTTGTGCTACTTGTTACATGGCATTTGCAAAAACTAATACAGAGAAGAAACGACATCAAATTGAAGCAGAAGTATTTCAAAAGAAATGGAGGCTTACTTCTGCAGCAGCAATTGTCCAACAACGAAGGAAATGTTGAGAAAATCAAGTTGTTTGATTCAAAGGAGTTGGAAAAGGAGTCGGATTATTATAACGAGAACCGAATTCTCGGAAGAGGAAGTCAAGGAACTGTGTTTAAAGGAATGCTGGCAGATGGAAGCATTGTAGCAATCAAGAAGTCGAAAATGGCGGAAGACGATAAATTAGATGAAAATGAGCTTAAACTGCTCATCAACGAGGTGATGATTTTATCACAAATTAACCATAGAAATGTGGTTAAGCTTTTAGGATGTTGCCTCGAGACAAAAGTCCCTTTGTTGGTTTATGAGTTCGTCCCTAATGGAACACTGTCTCAACTCATACACGAGCCGAATGAAGAGCTCCCTCTCACAAGGAAAATGCGTTTACGAATTGCGATTGAAATCGCCAATGCATTATCCTACTTGCATATTGCTGCTTCCATCCCCATTTATCATCGAGACATCAAATCCAGCAACATACTATTGGATGATAAATACAGAGCAAAAGTGTCGGATTTCGGAACTTCGAAATCGGTTGCGATCTAGCAAACACATGTAACCACTCGAGTACAAGGAACTTTCAGATATTTGGATCCTGAGTATTTTCGATCTAGTCAGTTTACAGAAAAGAGTGATGTGTATAGTTTTGGAGTTGTCCTTGTTGAACTTATAACAGGACAAAAACCCATCTCTTCAAGTCAATCAGAGGAAGTGGTGAGAAGCTTGGTGAACTTCTTTCTACTGTCGATGAAGGAGAATTCCTTGCTCGACATTGTTGATCCAATGGTGATGAACGATGGTCCCGAAGAAGAGATTGTAGCAGTTGCTAAGCTAGCAAAGAGGTGCTTGAATCTTAATGGCAAGAAAAGACCCACAATGAAAGAAGCTGCTATGGAGTTGGAGTGGATTAGATCCTCTGAAGAAGCTAATGCCATTGAACAAAGCACAGATGAAGATTCTGATATGGATGACATAATCGAACCTTCAACCTCTGCTTCATCTTAAACGTCTGGTTCAGTTCTTAACGATAGCGAAACTTTGACATTATATGCGGAGTCTTAGTCGGTGATCAAAAGAACTATTGTTTTTCTAAACGTTTTAGATTCAAATATCCTGTCAATAAAGATGTTTAATAGTTTATTATTAAATAATTATTAGTCTTTAAAGTAAATACTATCAAAATTAAACTAAAATAATATTTAATGATTAAATATGTGAATTATACAAATATTAATGTAAATTTGAGTCTTTTAGAGGCAAAGGCTAACAAAACCTTCTTTTATGTTCTACTATGCGACCGCCATCTTTACACTGCAACTTCTTCTCCTCTCTCAAACAGGTATTAAATGGTAGAAGCTCTTAGCCGCTTACAATTTACAGATATGTGCATTTATTTTTATTTGAATCCTGATTCCCCACTTTCTTTCCTTCCAAATTCTTACAGGTTGAGAAAAGATTGAAACTTGAAGAAAACCAAGCAGATTCAGGCCACTCCAGTTCAACCCCATCCCATGTTCCTGAAACTAATCCTACCCCAACACAATCTTTGGGCACACCGCTTTGCCTGCACTTAACCTACCCTTCCAATACCAACGTTAGCAACACTGTCGAAGATAGTGAACCCCCGCAAGCTTTCATCTGTTCTTCTTCTTCACCAGTCCACAGTTGCTTCCAACAAATGAAACCCAACCTCAGATAAACCCACCAGATTCCCCCATAAGAAAAGATAGGGATGAAATCGAGTATTTGATGCAACTTTTGGGTTTATCTGATAATTTTGAAGAAACCCAGAAAAGGGGGAAGTAGAAGACTGTTGTTTGTGGAGGGAATTCTTGTGGATGTGAGTGTGGGTTTTATGAGAAGATTATTGGGATTAAAGGGCCAAAGTGTGAGAAGGAAGCGGAAAGGATGGAAGGTTGGTTTAGATATTTCTTGAGGAATGGTAGTGAGCCTTTGAGCCTGGCTTTCTTGCTCATGAGGAAAGCTGCTTTTGAGAATGGTGATGATTGTGGGTTTCAATGCCTGGAGTTCCCTTCTTCCATAGATGAGTTTTTAAAGATTGATCCACCTAAAGTCTGAGAGCCTGAGGCATTATTAGAATTCTTATTCAATGGATTTATTTCTTTTTCCATTGAGTCTGAAGGTTTTGCATATCACCATTTCATGTCAGCTTGTAAGAGGAGACGCTAAGAACTAGTTTGTTTTTACTGTGTACCATCTTCAAACTTCTTAGATGTGTCGCGTAGATTTTAAAATTCGCAGACCGTTTATTTTTTAGAAGAATTTTTTTTTTCTAATATATGCATGAACTTTTCTTGATGAAATATGTCTTCAGAGATTTTTAAACCTCTTCAAAAATAATTATAAAATATTATTATTTATTAAAATAATTTTAAATAATTTAATAAAGTTATTTATTATAAAATAATTTATTTTAAAAATAATTTATTATAAAATAATTTATTTTAAAACAAATTATTATAAAATATAGATTGATTTATTTTAAAATAATTTATTTTAATTAATTTATTAGTATAGATTGATTTATTTTAAAATATGGATTGATTTATTTTAAATAACTTATTAGTATGAATTGATTTATTTTAAAATAAAAATTGATTTATTTTAAATAATTTATTAGTATCGATTGATTTATTTTAAAATATGGATTGATTTATTATTGTAGTTGTATAGATTGATTTATTTTAAATAATTTATTAGTATAGATTGATTTATTTTAAAATATAGATTGATTTATTTTAAATAATTTATTAATATGAATTGATTTATTTTAAATAATTTATTAGTATGGATTGATTTATTTTAAATAATTTATTAGTATGAATTGATTTATTTTAAATAATTTATTAGTATGGATTGATTTATTTTAAAATATTGATTGATTTATTATTGTAGTTGTATGGATTGATTTATTTTAAATAATTTATTAGTATGAATTGATTTATTTTAAAATATGGATTGATTTATTATTGTAGTTGTATAGATTGATTTATTTTAAATAATTTATTAGTATAGATTGATTTATTTTAAAATATGGATTGATTTATTTTAAATAATTTATTATTGTAGTTGTATAGATTATTTAAATTTCAGTATTGTAAAACTAAAATTATTTAAATCTCAGTATTGTAAAACTTTTTAAGTTTAAAAAATTAGTTTATTTATATTTCAGTTCATTTTAGCAGTCTGCAGACGTTAAAAAACAAACAGTATTCTTGCAGACTGCAGACTTTTGGTCCACCTCTTCTGCTACATATGCCTGCAGTTGTAGTCCACAGACTGTAGACATTTTACCTCTGTAAAAACAAACACCTAAATAATTGATTTGTAAAAGTGCTTTCTTTTTGTTTTGTACAACTGAAAATATTATCATTTTATTTGTATATTTGTTTCGACTTGCTGATATATACAATTTAATGGAATATAAAGACAAACAAAGATTCCTATAAAAAAAAAGACAAACAAAGATGCAATCATTTCCATTTCTCACTTCTGAAGAGTTAACTGAAACGACAGTTTGAGATTGAGGAAATTGAAACTGCTCAATAGAAGAGCTATTGCATAATATAATCCTACCAATACATTAGAATGCAATGAGCTTGCTGCTGTTATGCATCTCCAAGGCAGCAGGGTGATCGATTCTTCATGAGATTATGTCCTCATTTTCATAGTATTTTGCTTTTAGCTTGGAAAGGATCGATAAAACCTCTTTCACGTTGGGTCTTTCCTCAGGATTAGGGGAGGTACAAAACAAGGCTAGTTTAAAGAGGTCTTCTACTGCTTCCATTTGTTCATTGGAAACATTCATTGCTAGCATAGGATCCAGAACTTTAAGGACCTCTTTGGTTCCACTAGCAAGGGATTTCTCAACTAGTTGTTGAAGACTAACTGGCAGCCCATCCTCTTCCATGAGTCCAGTTGGTCTTTTTTTGGTTAGGAACTCCATGACTACCATGCCGAAGCTGAACACATCGACTTTAGTTGTAACATTCCTCATGTATGCGAATTCTGAAGAGGCGCAGAGTAATGTTTCAGTAATTCAGGCTTTGAAATGTTTATAGTATTATAATTGTTCAAGCATGATAATTTGAATAGCACTTGATCCGTCGAAAGATATGAAGGGATTCCGGTGTTTATAGTTGAAACTAGATTATATGCAGCATGGGAGACCATGATTGTTAAAACTCTGTTTTCTAAATACGTTTGTTGAAAATATTGCAGGTTTGGAGAATTTTCAGGCATTTGGAGAAATTAATAAGTGCATTATAAAGTTGAAGTAATTGAAGATTACCTGGTGCCAAGTAGCCAATAGTGCCTTCAAATGCTGATGTTGACGAAAGGCTGCTTCCATCATTGAGATGAACATTCAGCATGCGAGCTGTTCCAAAATCACTAACATGTGCAACCCAATCTCCATCGAGAAGTATATTTGAAGGCTTCAAATCACAATGCACAATGGGGAAATCATAGCCAGAATGCAAGTAATCCAATGCACTAGCGACTGCGATGTAAAGATCAATTCTCTTAGATAATGTCCAGATATGATAATCCATCATGGAACCATGTATGACGCTCTCTAAACTCCCGTTCTCCATGTATTGAAGAATGATAGCCTTTAGTGTCTGGCTTTCCCATGCATACCCAAGTACCTTTACCAGATTCTTATGCCTTAAATGGCTCAAGTTTTTGACTTCTCTGTGAAAGCTCTTATCAGATTCTTTGGAGAACTGATGTAGATTCAATATCTTTACTGCTATCTGCTTGCCATCGTCCAGTTGACCCTTGTACACGGTACTCAAACTGCTTGCTCCAATAATGTTATCTTCGATGAAGGATCTAGTTGCATTTTGTAATTCCATTTTATCAAACCTTCTTAGAGCTGCCGGTGTGAACCCTGGTTCTGGGTTTTCCAACTCGACAGGTTTCCTCTCTTTGCAACGCCAGAGGAGGGATGAAACTACGAGCACTAGGATTAGTAGTACTGAAACAGTTCCAAGGATGCTGAGAATTATTATTGCCTTATTGGAAAAACGATTTGAACTTCTCTTGCTGCATGACCTGAGAACTTTGTTTCCACAGAGAGCTTTGTTTCCTACCAAACTTGACGAGTTGATAGTTTTGAATATGCCGTTCTCTGGAACGTGGCCTTCAAGTTGATTGAATGAAAGATTGAGATGCGTCAGGCTGGAACTATTGGTAAAGCTTTCTGGAATGCTACCCCAAAGTTGATTCTGGGAAAGGTCCAGGGAGCTTAGATGCTTCAATTTCGCCAAGTTTTCTGGAATTTCACCATCTAATTTATTTCTTGAAAGGTTCAAGCTTCTAAGCATATCCATTTTAGCAAATGCCTCAGCTGAGATGATACCAGAAAGTTTATTTCCTGAAAGATCTAGAGAAAACAAATTTCTGCAGCCTCTAATTGTCGTAGGAATGACTCCTGAAAAGTTATTTTTTGAGATGTCAATGGCTTGCACCATTTCCAGCTTACCCAGCTCATCTGGAATACTTCCTTCTAAGAAATTGTTGGAGAAGTTCAGAAACAGCTGCATCATTCTCATCCCTTCAAACATGGACTTAGGAATCGATCCTGTGAGATGGTTGTGAGAGACATCCAATGTTGAAAGTTGATATAGACGTTCCATGCTATTTGGAAGGGACCCTTTGAGCTTGTTGTTGTTGAGGTTGAGGTATGTAAGAAACTCGAGCTTTGAGACAACGTTCGGAATGGAACCTGTTATTTTGTTGTGCTGCAAGTCTAGATAAGTAAGCTGCTTCAGTTCAAATAGTCTCTCAGGTAGGGCACCTTCTAGAGCGTTATCATGCAATGAGAGCCCTTGAAGAAGAGAGGCTTTCGATAATTCTGGTGGAATTTGGCCTGTGAAACCATTTCCAGCAAGGGTTAAGGTCACAAGTCGACTCAAATTGCCAATCTCTGGTGGAATTGACCCAACAAATGAATTGAAACCAGCTTTCAAAACCTGGAGATTAAAGAGTTTGCCGATATCTGGTTTTAACAATCCAGTAAAATTGTTTTCTGCTATACTTAGAAGACGAAGATTTGAGCAGTTGAAGAGATCATCAGGGATTTCACCCGACATCCTATTTGGCCCTATAGATAGAAATGTTAAATTTGGCAACTGCCCTAAACCTGATGGAATTTTCCCTGTTATATTATTAAAACCCAAAGATATAACCTGAAGATGGGTACAGTTGACAATGCTTGGAGGAATCGATCCCTCAAGATGATTGCTTTCCAGGCTCAAGTTCCTTAGATTATAAAGCAATCCAAGGTTTTGTGGAAGTTCTCCTGTGAGAGAATTGTAGCTCAGTGACAAATATGTCAAATTTGTCAAGTTGGTTATTGATGAAGGAATCCATCCCTTGAACTTATTGGAATGCAGGGTCAGCACTTGTAACGAGGCCAAAGATCCAACCTCTTCTGGTACCGTTCCAATCAACTCATTCTCCGAGAGTCCTAAATGGGTTAATGATTTCAATTGGAACAAGGAAAGAGGAATTGTGGAATTCAACTTGTTTTTATACAATCTTAAAGTCTGTAACCGAACCAGCTTTCCAAGCTCACGAGGAATGGCTCCCGTGAACTTGTTGGTGTGGAGTTCAAGATTAACAAGTGACCTACAACGACCTAGTTCTGATGAGATTTCTCCCGTCAGCGAGTTATTAAAAAGCAGAAGATATTCTAAACTTGACAAATTCCCTATTTCCGGAGGTATTACTCCGGAAAGATGGTTTTCACTTAGGTCTAAAGATTGCAAAGCTCCCAACATGCCAATGGAAACAGGTATTGAACCTTCCAAACTGTTTCTATATGCTACCAAGATTTGAAGATTACCCAAGTTTCCTATGTTTTTTGGGATTGTTCCTGTGAGATTGTTGTAGATAATACCTAGAGCTAACAAGGAAGTGCAGTTGCAAATGCTGTCGGGGATGCTTCCGTTCAGAAAGTTATCGCCCAAGTCCATCGTTTGCAGATTTCTAAGGTTTCCTATTTCCGGTGGGATTGGACCCGACAGAGAATTATAGTAAAGAATTAGATCAGTGAGCTGGGAGCATAGTCCTAGTTGAGGTGGAATATGACCGGAGAATGAATTTGAAGTTAAATCAAGAACCTGGAGGCTTGAAAGGTTTCCAAGAAATGGAGATATCTCCCCTTTGAGCCGCATTTCAACCAGGGTGATCGAAATGACTCGACTCGAGGAAGGGTCACAGGCAATCCCAGACCAGTTGCAGTGATGATTCGCCGCCGTCCAATCTGCAAGTGCTCCCAAAGGGTCATGAGTGACAGATCTCTTGAATGCCCGAATCGCCTCAACTTCAACCTCCAAGCTCGGTTCTGCATACTGTGCTGTAAGTAAAACGGAACAAACTATGGCAATGATTAAACTGCTGATGCATTTTGAAAACATTGCTAGCTAGAGTAATGATACACTGAAACTATCAAGCTGATGATAGGTTTGGATTCGGAGACATGCTTATATGCACATTTCAACCTATCATTGATCACCGGAAACCGGCTGCAACTTGATAACCGAAAAAGACGTCTTTAAACGACGATCTCGAGTAGTGTGGCACCTTTTCTTTGGTCTCATCGACCTTTGCACTGAATCTGCAATACGATAAATGACTGGATTGTCTTCTACCAACCCATCTACCACCCCGGATAAACACAAGCACAAGTGGAACATGTTGATGATATGGCTTTTAGTGAGTGTGGCCAATGGGATAGTGGAATGTGAAGTGGGAAACCGGGGGCGTCAACCATTTCAACTGGTAAACGCGTACTATAAATATAGTTTTTTCATTTAGTGTTTTTATATGATCTTTTAGAAAGAGCTTTCAACCAATTGTTTAAAAAATGATTTTATAAAATAAGTGGTATCAATTATACGTGATTTTTAATATTATGAATATAGTTTTCGTTTTTTTAATTTTATGAATTCGAGCATTTCGTGTGCATGGATGCGAGGTCTCAACATCAAATAGTTGAGAGTTTTTTTAATAGATACTATTGTGTATTCACCCTATACATAAAAATCTATAATCCCCAATAAATGCTTAACATGTAGGCATGTATTTCTAATTTCTTGTAATTCTTTAAATAATTTTTTTTAATTTTTTAAATCTCATAAAATTCTTAATTATCATAAAATTTTAAATCTCTATGGGTATGTTGGTAATGCTTTCTAAAATCACTTTTAGTTAAAAACTCCGTTTTAACCGAAAAATCAATTCAAACGGGTATAAAATGAAAAAAAATAGGTGGAACGATGGTTTCAAACCAACCGTAAAAGCTAAGATTTCTGACTTTTTCATTTTAAACTTTACGTTTGGAAGCAAATTATAATTTTATCCTTACTAATGGATTGGCTCCACTCAATTATGTATTATATGTTATTTTAATAATTTAATACTAACATCCTTAAAAAAATAATTTATTACTTTTAATAATTTATTTTAATTATTTAAAATAAATAAAATTCATAATTTATATCTTAAAATATTAATAGTGAATTATATAAAATATATTTGTATTATAATTGTATTTTTTTATTATAGTTTCTATTAATATAATTAATATATAATAGTAATTTTCTGAACTTATTATAGTTTAAATAGATATGATTCGTATATAAGATATTGGGTAACAAAGTAGGCATAGTTTAGGTGGCAAGGTTCCGAAATCTTTACGAGGCAATAACTAGAAACAACTTAGAAGAGCTCGTCAAAATTGGGTAATGACGAGCGTAGGGTTGTAAATGAGACGAGATAGATCATGAGTTACTCGAGATCGACTCGGTCAAGGCTCGATAAATACTCGGATCGAATGGACTCGACTCGAACTCGATCTCGACTCGAATTCTTAACGAGCCGAAACGAGCTACTTGATACTCGACTCGAAAAACTCGTGAGTAGCTCGAAAATTTTAAGAATTTTTTTTCTTCATTTCGAGCCTTTTCGAGCTGCTCACGAGCTTCAGTTCAAGATTTCGAGTTCGAGTCGAGCTTAAAAATTTTAAGCTCGTGAATTTTTGAGTCGAGCCGAACTCTATTTCAAAGTTTTCGAGTCGAGTCGAGCTCAACAATACTCGAACTCGACTCGGCTCGTTTACATCCCTTGACGAGCGCATGAAAAACTGATGAAAGATGAGAGTGAAAGGCTAACCGTCCAAAAAGCCCTGCCTTCGAGAAGGCCATAAGGAACAGCTCCGAAATTCCTCGAATCATTTGTGTTATAGATGTTATCTCCTTCTACCCAAACATGCCCTTTAGGAATCTATTCACAAAAAGGGGAAAAAAACATTTAAACTCACTGAAGATAGAAAAACTGGGAATCCAAGAAATACTACCACGACAGTTTTGCATCTATCACTGTTCTTGGGGTCGACGACGTAGGTGACTTGATCACCTTCCATTCCCATCAGCCGTTTGCAGACAACTTTCCTCGGAGCCTCGGGCGACCGTAGGATCACAACGTCACCGGGTCGAAGTTTGCCGGTCCGGGTCGAAATGCGTTCCACCAACAGCACGTTGCCTGTTATGCACAATGTTGGGAGCATGCTGGGGCCATAAGTCTTTTAGAGTTCCCAGCCATTGCCCCCGAATCCAAAAGTAAAAAATAAAGCCCAGAAACGATAATTTGAAATGAAATGAACGATGAGCTTGTTTCGTTTTCTTACAATGACGGTAGTGCCGAGGTATTTGTTGGTAACGTAACGGAAACAGAGGCCTCTGACTATAGGGATAACGCTGCGGCTCCATTCTCCCATTCTTCCCTCTCTTGCGATCCAGTTTTTCAGATTTGAGTTCTCCAAGAACTCATGGTGAGGAACTAATGATAAATTCTGATATTAATTATACCTACTTTGTTTAGTGTCACTCTACTTCACTTCTTTTATTAAAGATTTTTAATTTAGTATTATAAAATTATGTCATGGTCGTTATACCCTCCAATCCAGAGGTATTTGTCACGGACCGCCAGCCCATGACCGAGAAAAACTCATTCCAGGCTGCCAGGGACTATCTTTGCCACGTTCTGGGCCTTCTAGAAGACCCAAGTGAGCTGACCCAATCCACCTTGGAGACATGATAATTGTTTAGCATTATCTTAGAAGATAATGATGACAACTCATTGCCCACTTGTTGTAAATAGTGTAGAGCTCTCATCTTAGCCATTGATGTACTTTAATCCCAACCGTTCATTGTAGGGAACTCCAACTATAAAAGGAGGCTCACCCCCCCTTCATTTACACACCTCAAGTTGAGAAATACAAACTAGTATTCACTCTCAAATCTCTCTTCTTCCTTTGGGTGCCCATCTCTTTGTTTCCCCAATTCCTTTGGGTTCTAAGCATTCTAGCTTAGTGAAGGTTCGGGTCACTTAGTCGATTTTCGACCTTGAAAACGTCTAAGACCGCACGAGCTTGCTAGCAGCAGTCTAGCCCCGTGACAAGTGGTATCAGAGCGTGTCGTTGTGGGAAAGCAACGATCATTTCGACCGAGTTTGGTGGAAGATACGAAACCGGGTAAGTTCCATTTACTTAAAACTCGTTCAATTTAATTTGTTAATTGAGATGGCACCACAACATGGCGATGCGGGAGCTTCCGAGGGAAATGAATCCCGAAATGCTGGAAAGAAGAGAGCACCATCGAGAGATGTTCTCGCGTCCCTCCAAGAGAAGGTTACTAGGCTCGAAGGATCCATGGCGGATGCCCAGAGAGTGCTGGACACGCTAGAGTCCGTAGACCTTGAAAGGCTTGGATCATTGGATCTCGACAAGCTAGAATCCTTGGATTCTATCAAGGATGATGTTCAGGATTCACTCAATGGGCTGGACGTGAAGACGACGGATCGAGGTAATTCCTTAGAAGCCATGGTAGTAGCTTTAAGGAAGGAAGTCGAGGAACTCAAGAGCGAGGGTTCCGATTCTGAGGTGGCAACATTAAAGCGGGAGGTCGAACTGCTCAAGACCGAGCTGTTGGTGTGCAAAGCTGCGTTTGGAAGTGGCGTGGCCACGGTTGCACCCAAAGCCTTGGGCGACATCCCTAAACCGGAGAAGTTCAAAGGGTCAAGGTCAGCCCAAGATGTCGAGAATTTCCTTTGGGGACTGGACCAGTACTTTGCAGCCATGAGCATCACAGAGGATGCCAAGAAAGTAAACATCGCTAGCGTTTACTTGTCTGAGGTTGCCCTCATGTGGTGGCGACGTAGATGCAACGATGTGAAGCGTGGTACCGCTCCCATCGCAACATGGGGAGAGTTCCAAGCGGAGTTCAAGGAACAATTCTACCCGGAGTATGCCGAAGACGAGGCACGGTCCAAGTTAAGGCGTCTCAAGCAAGAAGGGTCATTGAGGGAGCATGTTCGAAAGTTTGTCGAAGTAAGTCTCCAAGTCCCGAGTTTAAGCGAAGAGGACGGGTTCTTCACCTTCATGGATGGGCTAAAACCATGGGCGAAGAACGAGCTAAGGCGACGAGGGGTCAAGGATCTCTCAACTGCCTTGACGACAGCCGAGTCAGTCATTGAGCTTGGCGTCAAGAGTGTGGACTCCAAACCAAAGCCAAAGTTCCGAGGCAGCAGTGGCGATAGGGACAGGGCGTCCAGATCCGACAGAGATTCGAGTGGCAGTGGAAGGCCATCGAATAGCAAGCACTTGGATAAGAAAGATAAGCCAATTATCCAATGTTACAACTGCAAAGGCCAAGGGCACTTGGCGAGGGACTGTCCGCAGAAGAACAAACTCTCGGCCATCATGGAGAAAGATGGGGAAGAGAGTGAGACTCTGAAGCTTGGCTCCATTCTAAGCACCATGGAGGTCAAGAAGGGTCGAAAGAAGAAGGGGTTGATGTTCGTGGACGTCAACGTTGCTGGCCAAAAATTGAGTGCACTAGTGGACACCGGTGCCTCAGAATTGTTCATGTCCGAACCAGTCGCCAAGAGACTTGGCTTTCATGTGGAGAAGGCAAATGGTTCCATCAAGACTGTGAATGCCGAGGAAGTTCCGATTGCTGGGGTCGCAAAAGGAATCGAGCTAACCGTTGGAGGATGGTCCGGAAGAGAAACCATTAAGGTAATTCCTCTTGATGATTTCGATTTTGTTCTTGGCCTAAGTTTCTTGGACAGGATCAATGCTTTCCCGGTACCCTTTGCCGATTGCTTGTGCATCCTGGATCCAAAACAACAATGTATAGTTCCAGTAAGCCGAGGGTCAGGAGTCGGGGCCAGAGTTTTATCTGCGATTCAATTCTCGAAGGCGGTGCGCAAGGAGGAACCAACCTTCCTAGCTGTCTTGGTGTGTGACGAGCCAGCCACAACCAAGGATGTTCCCGACGTGGTGAGCCACGTTTTGGCAGAATTCAGAGACGTGATGCCTGCCGAGTTGCCTAAGAAGTTACCTCCAAAGAGGGAGGTTGATCACAAGATTGAACTTGTGCCGAATGCGGAGCCACCCGCTCGAGCCCCTTACCGAATGGCTCCACCCGAATTAGAGGAGATGCGCAGACAATTGAAGGATCTCCTCGATGCTGGTTACATCCGACCATCGAAGTCCCCCTATGGTGCCCCAGTACTGTTTCAGAAGAAACACGATGGTTCTTTGCGGATGTGCATCGACTACCGGGCTTTGAATAAGCTCACGGTGAAGAACAAGTACCCAATCCCTCTCATTGCGGACTTGTTTGATCAACTTGGTGGTGCAAGATGGTTCACCAAGTTAGACTTGCGATCGGGCTATTACCAAGTAAGGATAGCCGAGGGAGATGAACCGAAGACAACCTGCGTGACCAGGTACGGTTCCTATGAATACCTTGTGATGCCCTTTGGCCTCACGAATGCTCCAGCCCACTTTCTGCACCTTGATGAACAAGGTGTTGCAGCCCTTTTTGGATCGATTCGTTGTAGTCTACCTCGACGACATCGTCATCTATAGCAAGACATTAGAGGAGCATGTCGAACACCTGAGGCAAGTGTTCGTGGTTTTGCGAGACAATGAGCTCTACGTTAAAGAAGAGAAGTGCTCATTTGCCCAGACGGAGGTTCCTTTCCTTGGCCACATTGTTGGAGGTGGCAAGATCTGGATGGATCGAGACAAGATACGAGCCATTGAAGAATGGAAAGTGCCAACCAAGGTGACGGAGCTAAGGTCATTCCTAGGCTTGGCCAACTATTACCGGCGTTTTGTCAAAAGTTATTCGAAGATCGCCGCCCCCTTGACCGAGTTATTAAGGAAAGACAAGAGGTGGGATTGGAGCTCGAAATGTCAAAGTGCCTTTGAAGAACTCAAGCTTGCTATGATAAGCGAGCCAGTCTTGGTGTTGCCTGATCACACCAAGTTCTTTGATGTATTCACCGATGCATCTGATGTTGCTATTGGTGGTGTCCTAATGCAAGGAGGACATCCGGTTGCTTATGAAAGCCGAAAGCTCAACGAGACCGAAAGGCGATACACGGTCCATGAGAAAGAGATGACGGCGGTTGTGCACTGCTTGCGCACGTGGCGACATTATTTACTTGGGTCCAAGTTCATAGTGTTTACCGACAATGTTGCCAATAGCTACTTCTTAACCCAGAAGAAGTTATCACCGAAGCAGGCTCGATGGCAAGAGTTTCTTGCCGAGTTTGATTTGTCCTTCGAGCACAAATCTGGGAAAGTAAATTTCGTAGCTGATGCCTTAAGTCGAAGGTACAACATGGAGCTTGTAAGTATGCCAACGGGACAGATGCGAGAACGCATCAAGGGAGGGTTGTCACATGATCCGATGGCCACTTCATTGATTGAGCTTGCCACTGAGGGTAAGACTCGAAAGTTTTGGCTCGAGGGAGGCTTATTGTATGCTCGAGGACACCGCCTCTACGTGCCGCAATTTGAAGGATTGCGAAAGGAGCTCATGAAGGAATGTCACGATTCTAAGTGGGCGGGACATCCGGGAATCCACCGGACTTTGGCCTTAATAACGGATCACTATTACTGGCCTCACATGGGCGATGATGTTGAGGCCTATGTGAAGACATGTCTTGTGTGCCAACAAGACAAGATAGAGCAGAAGAAACCAGCTGGATTGTTGCAGCCTTTGCCAATCCCTGAGAGACCATGGGAGAGTCTTTCTATGGATTTTATTGTCGGTCTGCCAGTTACCGATGGATTTTCTAGCATCATGGTAGTGATCGATAGATTTTCCAAGTATGGAACATTCATCCCAGCATCCAAAGTATGCCCAGCCGAGGAGGCAGCTCGACTTTTTCTAAAGCACGTGGTAAAATACTGGGGCGTACCAAAGACGATTATCAGTGATCGGGACACAAGGTTCACTGGGAGGTTCTGGAAGGAGTTGTTCAAGTTGATGGGATCAAGCTTGAACTTCTCAACGAGTGTTCATCCACAGACGGATGGGCAGACCGAGAGAGTGAATGCACTCGTAGAGACGTACTTGAGGCACTATGTGAGTGCCACACAACGCGACTGGCCAAAATTGTTGGATATAGCCCAATTTTCCTACAATTTGCAGAGGAGTGAAGCGACCAATCAAAGTCCATTCGAGATAGTTACCGGGCAACAACCGCTCACACCAAATGCAATCGCGACCGGATACAAGGGGCCAAATCCAACAGCATACCAATTTGCCAAGGAGTGGCAAGAACAACACGAGCTAGCCCGTGCTTGTTTGCACAAGGCCGGGAAGCGAACCAAGAAGTGGGCGGATCGAAAGCGTCGGGACGTCAATTTTGAGGTTGGTGACCTAGTCCTTGCCAAACTAAGTGGCATTTTGCGCAACCCATATCACAAAGGGCTTGTGCGAAGATACGAAGGGCCGTTCAAAGTTCTAAAGCGAGTAGGCACCATGGCCTATAGATTGGAATTGCCTCCAACCATCAAAGCTCATCCAGTATTCCATGTGAGTTTGTTGAAGCCATACCATCAGGATAGGGAGGAGCTAGATCGAGGCAAGTCACACCGAGCGCCAGTCGGAGTAAAAGTCTCTTACGAGAAGGAAGTAGAAGCCATCCATGCGGAGAGAGCCGTTCATCGAGTGGGACATCGACCAAGGCATGAATACCTTGTTCAGTGGAAGGGACTTCCAGAGAGTGAAGGAAGTTGGGAGCCTTCCGAAGACTTATGGCAATTCCGAGATAAGATAGATCAGTTTCACTCTAGCCGCGCGACGAGGGCGTCGCTAGAACTAGTGGGGGAGAATGTCACGGACCGCCAGCCCATGACCGAGAAAAACTCATTCCAGGCTGCCAGGGACTATCTTTGCCACGTTCTGGGCCTTCTAGAAGACCCAAGTGAGCTGACCCAATCCACCTTGGAGACATGATAATTGTTTAGCATTATCTTAGAAGATAATGATGACAACTCATTGCCCACTTGTTGTAAATAGTGTAGAGCTCTCATCTTAGCCATTGATGTACTTTAATCCCAACCGTTCATTGTAGGGAACTCCAACTATAAAAGGAGGCTCACCCCCCCTTCATTTACACACCTCAAGTTGAGAAATACAAACTAGTATTCACTCTCAAATCTCTCTTCTTCCTTTGGGTGCCCATCTCTTTGTTTCCCCAATTCCTTTGGGTTCTAAGCATTCTAGCTTAGTGAAGGTTCGGGTCACTTAGTCGATTTTCGACCTTGAAAACGTCTAAGACCGCACGAGCTTGCTAGCAGCAGTCTAGCCCCGTGACATATTGCATCAGAATAACTAGCCTCTATAATTAAAAAACACAACCCAACAATAAGTAACTTTGATACTAAAATTGGGGCAGCTTAGTGGAAGCAATCATTTCCTACTGAACATCTAATAAGTTAAGAAAATAGATCCATTATAACTCATTGATCGCTTATAGTCAGCAATTTCAGTAGGAAATTGGAACATTATCTGCTCAGAGGATTTTTATGGGTCTGGTGCAAACTACATGTTTGTCAAAATGCCTCTTAGATAGCGTGCGTAGAGTTGATGTACGTTGCTCGTAAGGTAGGCCATTGTAATTGCTCTTTTAAGTGAATGCTCAATTTGTGCAATCCGAACCCATACATGAATCATTGACCTTTGAACTGAATCTGGAATACGATAAATGACTGGATTTTCTTCTACCAACCCATCTACCACTGCGGATAAACTCAAACATAAGTGGAACATGGTGATAATAAAGGCTTTTAGTGAGTGTGACCAATGGGATAGTGGAATGTGAAGTGGGAAACCGGGGGCGTCAACCATTTCAACTGGTAAACGTGTAGTTGAATGGACGCAATGTTGAAGGTGATCACGTCGGTAGCAGAATCAAGACAAGTTGTTCAGAATCTGGGTGCAGATTTGAGGTCATGAAATCGTGTTTGTGGGCCTGCTGTAGTTTTATATTCAATGCATTTGGAAGTCTGGACAACAAAGCCAGTGATGTTCATCAATGGTATATACGTAGTGCTCACAAAAACTTTGTTCATATTCCACACATAAAATAATGACGAGTTGGATAATCACGGAACACTTAACACTGCTCTCAGCCTGTCACCAGCCCTAATTTTTTGTATGATCTTTTTGAAAGAACTTTCAACTAACTGTTAAAAAAATAATTTTATAAAATAAGTGGTATAAATTATACGTTATCTTTAATATTATGAATATAGTTTTGTCGTTTTTAAAAAAGAAAATTCGAATTCGGAACAAGTTAGGATAGAGCTAGATTTAAGATAAAAATTCTTAAGTCCACACATTCAAAATAAACTATTAATGTTAAAATAAATATTATTATTATTGAATCCTATATTATTATTGTTGGCTTAATTGAAAAAATAAATATTCAAATTATATATTTTATCTATTTTAAGTGTTTTTTTTTGTTAAAGTGAGTGTCTAAGGTTTTTAAAGTTGCTATTTAAGTTGTTTGGATATTAACGACGATTTAAAAAAAATCAATTATTGCACGAATTAAGTTACCTCAATTGTTAAGGGATTTATTATTGTCTTTTGAAATCTTGAATTTGAGCATTGTGTATGTAGGGATATGAGTGCTCATTGTCAAATAATTGAGTGTTTTTCTAACATATATTATTTTGTATTTACCCTATATCTATCTAGAAAAATCTATAATCCCCAATAAATACTTAACATGTAGGCATGTATTTCTAATTTCTGGTAATTCTTTAAATAAAATTTTTTATTTTTTAAATCTCATAAAATTCTTAAATTATCTAGAAATTTTAAATCTCTAAGGGTTCGTTTGGTAATGTTTTCTAAAAGCATTTTTTAGTTAAAAATCACGTTTTAACCGCAAAATCAATGTCAAACGGATATAAAATGAAAAAAAATGGTGGAACGATGGTTTTAAACCAACCACAAAAGTTAGGATTTCTAACTTTTTCATTTTCAACTTTGCGTTTGGAAGCAAATTATAATTTTATCCTTACTAATTCATGGGCTTCACTCAATTATGTATTTATATTTTATTTTAATATTTTATTTTAATTATTTAAAATAAATAAAATTCACAATTTATATATTAAAATATTAATAGTGAGTTATATAAAATATATTTTTATTATAATTGCATTTTTTTATTTTTATTATAGTTTCCATTGATATATTTCATGTATAATAATAGTTTTCTGAACTTATTATAGTTTAAATGGTTATGATTCATATATAAATATAAATATAATTTAAATGTTATATTTTTAATTTACAACATAATATCTATAATGGACATTTTATCTTCTTAAACTTACTTTTTAATAGTAATCACAAACAATTAAATTTTAAACTACACTTTTGTACAACACTTTTAAAAATTCGTTTCTACAATACTTTTAAAAGTCATTTTTCAAAAGTCTTAAATCTTATATGTAATTGCTTTTCTTTCTTTCTTTCTTTTATCAATCATATATGTCATTGTTGAATCAATTACTTTTTTATATAGCTAAACTTTCACCGGTAAGTCCCCCTCTTTTCATCACACATCGTCATCCAAAATCAGTTCTCATTGGACAAAATCATTTTCTCACTGAATCATCCCCATTAGTTATTTGATGGTTTTCAACCATAAACAAAATAACAAGATACAAGCCCAAAGTAGGGTAAATCAAAAGGGTAAATCAAAATGGGTCAATGATCAAGAGTAAAAGGGTTTGCAGTTCGAAAGCCCACAGGTTCATTTACCTTGTCTCTCTATTCAGAATTCATCATTAGTTCCTCACCATGAGTTATTGGGGAACTCAAATCTGAAAAACTGGATCGCAAGAGAGGGAAGAATGGGAGAATGGAGCCGCAGCGTTATCCCTATAGTCAGAGGCCTCTGTTTCCTTTACGTTACCAACAAATACCTCGGCACTACCGTCATTGTAAGAAAACGAAACAAGCTCATCGTTTATCGTTCATTTCATTTCAAATTATCGTTTCTGAGCTTTATTTTTTACTTTTGGATTCGGGGGCAATGGCTGGGAACTCTAAAAGACTTATGGTCCCAGCATGCTCCCAACATTGTGCATAACAGGCAACGTGCTGTTGGTGGAACGCATTTCGACCCGGACCGGCAAACTTCGACCCGGTGACGTTGTGATCCTACGGTCGCCCGAGGCTCCGAGGAAAGTTGTCTGCAAAAGGCTGATGGGAATGGAAGGTGATCAAGTCACCTACGTCGTCGACCCCAAGAACAGTGATAGATGCAAAACTGTCGTGGTAGTATTTCTTGGATTCCCAGTTTTTCTATCTTCAGTGAGTTAAAATGTTTTTCCCCCTTTTTGTGAATAGATTCCTAAAGGGCATGTTTGGGTAGAAGGAGATAACATCTATAACACAAATGATTCGAGGAATTTCGGAGCTGTTCCTTATGGCCTTCTCGAAGGCAGGGCTTTTTGGACGGTTAGCGTTTCACTCTTCATCTTTCATCAGTTTTTCATGTGCTCGTCGTTACCCAATTTTGACGAGTTCTTCTATTTTGTTTCTAGTTATTGCCTCGTAAAGATTTCGGAACCTTGCCACCTAAACCCAGATAGTAATATACGCCTTAATCCGGGTTGGCATTGGATGTGTTATCTGCTCAGAGGATTTTTATGGGTCTGGTGCACACAACGTGTTTGCCAAAATGCCTCTGAGATAGCGTGCGTAGAGTTGATGTACGTTGTTCGACTGCTCGTAAGGTAGGCCATTGTAATTGCTCTTTTAAGTAAATGCTCAATTTGTGCAATCCGAACCCATACATGAATCATAATGTTCCAATTTCCTACTGAAATTGCTGACTATAAGCAATCAGAAACACAGTGAGATATATCTGACAAAAAGAAATTCTCAATCCAGTTAGGGAACAATAGAAAGAAGCATCATTAATGTGTGAAGCACCTGTAATCAATCATTAAAACACAATTACGTGTATGAAGCTAGAAAATAAAAGATAGAACAAACAACCAATAGATAGCTGTGTACTGGAATATCAATGAAAGGGTAACGAAAGCATTGGGATGGTAAGAGAGATGGATGGAGGTGTGAATTTCTTCCTTCACCTTTGTCCTATATTTGCATAGGCGTTGAGAATATCTATCTTTATCAGATATTAATTATACCTACTTTGTTTAGTGTCACTCTACTTCTCTTCTTTTATTAAAGATTTTTAATTTAGTATTATAAAATTATGTCATGATTGTTATACCCTCCAATCCAGAGGTATTACTTCAGAATAACGAGCCTCTATAATTAAAAAACACAACCCAACAATAAGTAACTTTGATACTGCTGAAGGCAGCTTACACTATCAACTATTGTTCAACAAATGATAGCTAAAATTGGGGCAGCTTAGTGGAGGCAAACATTTCCTACTGAACATCTAATAAGTTAAGAAAATAGATCCATTATAACTCATTTATCGCTTGTTATTAGGCCTTAATCCTCCTTCATACCACTCTACCACTTATCACCCATTACATGAGTATATAACTGAAATTTCTTCCCAGTGTAATTGATGAGGGGACTTAAAAGGAAGAAGCCGACTAAAGGGGAATGGGGAAGATGAAAGGGAGAAAAGTGAAACTCACGTGGGTATACCATTATTTGCCCATCGTTGAGTGAATTTCGTCCTGTTACAAGTTCGATCCAAAGGGGAAAAAACCCTCTAACTTGAGAAGATAAAACTTCAATATGATTGTCCTCAAACTTGAGGTAATGTGATTTCAGGATGATGATGACTCGTCCCTTCAACGTAAGACAATGCGATTTTTTAAAGAGGGAAATCGCTCCTCCAACTTAAAGCGATGAAAGATGTCTTTGGTCCTCCAACTTGAGGCTTTGAGACTTTGAAGAAAGTGAACCACTCCTCCAAATTAAGGCAGCGAAACATTTTGAAAATTAAGTTTCTGGTTCAACTTGAGGCATTGAAACTTTTGAGAATGTAAATGCTCTTACAACTTGAAGTGATGAAAGATGTTTTGGTCCTCAAACTTCAAACATAAAAACTTTGAATTACTTCTCGCATTGAAACTTTTGAAAAATTAAAGTGTACTTGAAGCCATGTAAGATGTCTTGATCCTCTAACTTGAGGCATTGAGACTTTGAATTGCTCCTTCAACTAGAGGTAGTGGAACTTTTGAAAAATTAAATTGTTCCTACAACTTGAAGCAATGAAAGATATATTGGTCCTCCAACTTAAGGCATTGAGACTTTGAATTAATCCTCCAACTTGAGGCATTGGAACTTTTGAAAAATTAAATTGTTCCTCAAAATAGAGGCATTAAAACTTTTGGAAAGTTAAATTTCTATTCCAACTTGAGGGTCAAATTGATATTTATCTAAAGTTTAACGATCAATTTAATATTTTATTCATAGTTAAAGAGTTAAATTAAAAATTAACTCCCTTTACTAATGTACTATCTCATCAAATTAATGATCTTTAATATTATAATGACAAAAATGTCACAAATAGATTCCATAAGTGACCAAAATGTTATAAATAAATAATGTAAATTACAAAAAGATTACGTTTTCAAAATTTGGTGAGCAAAAGTGAATACCTATGAAAAAAAGAGTCCATTTAAATAATTTACCCAGTAAAAAATAGAAAGGTGAATGGAAACTGAAAAAGGCGGCTAGATAGATAAAGAGTTTAAGGCCAACAAATAAATAAATAAAGTTCAATATCTATTTGAAACCAAAAGCCTTGAGATAAACAGAGAAAGAAGAAAACTAATGGCAACAACAGCAGCGGCAGCAAATCTTGCCTGCTTCCCTCAACCTTGGAAGGTTAATCATCTCAGAGCCCATCGAAGAGTAATTACATGGGAAAGAAAACCCAAATCTCCATCACTAACTGCAACTTCAACTGCATGCCATTGCTCTCTTTCTCAGACTTTCCCTCTTTTCCAAGCAGCCAAACACACTGTAGGCTTTTTCCTCTTTGCTACGTTTACCTTTACATGATAATATCATAACTTATTAGTAGTTTGCATGTTTTCTTCTTTAACTCGCTGCTGATTATTGTACCATCGGTAGCTAGATTGATACCTACGTCAAAAGTGGAATGGTTATTGGACTGGGGTCCGGTCAAGCTTCTGCCTTGGCCATTGAGTATTTGGGTTTCCAAATTCGTGCAGGTGCTTTCGAATCCGTACTGGGTATACCAACGTGAGTTATCCTTTTCAAAGCGATGAAAGATGTCTTTGTTTCTTGTATCTCGTTTGAATTCTTTCACCCTTCATTCAGCGACTTCTTCTTTTTTGATCCCTACATCAACTATGCTGGAAATTCTTTTTCTTAGCTACTTGGAATGGCTTTACACACACACACACACACAACGTTACCAACAAGGTTTCTTCAAAAAAAAAAAATGTTACCAACAAGGTGGAACAAATCAGAACACAAATAGCTACTTGTATGAAACGTAATCCGATAGGGGTAGTTCGCTCCAGTTCATTTGCTAGGAATGAAGTACGGTTTATTGGAATGTAAATCGTTTTTCTTTTTCGAATTATATGCATATAGTTTTTGTGTTTATATAAATACATAATTCTAAATAAATTCTAAAGTTCGTGAGTTGTATGTTCTGCTGAATAATTTAATAGTAAATTATATACTATTGTGATCTTAATCTTACTGAATTAGATCATTAGAGGTCTGCTCTTGAGATCATGTGTACCAATTCGAAAATCGTTAGAGAAATAGTGATTTTTGTAACAGAGCTTACACACACATATATCATATTTACATATATTGAGGAATTCAACTCTTTGTGTTGGTTTATTCTCTTTAGTTTAGATTGTGCAAAGAAAATAATGTAATATCTTCTGTTCTAAGTTTACCATTGAGTGGCTGCATTCAAAATGACACAAGACTTGTTGAGTAAAATCTTCATGATTGTATTCACTTGTTCTTGCTTGAGAAATCAATATTGGCCTACTTTTTCCCCTTTAATCCTCCTTAAATACTTCATCCTTTGATTCTACCATTGCATAGGAAGCAATATCTAATTTACTATTCTCACAAGTTTCTTCTCTTCTATTTTTCTCATTTGGTGATTCTCTATGTTTATGCTGTCCCTTGAATTGATAATTTAATGTCATCCGCATTCTCATCCTATTAATTCCATTTTCTAGAGAATCCAATTTTTGTTGCTTGCTCCTCCATTTTTGCAGCCTTCTTTGTTAGTTATAATATTTGTAAGTTGGTCTGTTTTTCTGCAGGTCTATAGTGAGTGCCAGTGAGGCAGCAAAGGCCGGAATTCCATTAGGAGAGCTTGAAAACAGTCCTCAAGTTGGTCATAACTCCACCAATAAATTGCTGTTAATTGGATTTTGACTGATGCATTTTTAGCTCTGGTTGAATGTTTTAATTTGTTGAACCGTCAAAAACCCTTGCTCTAGAATGTTGTGAACTTATTTATGTAAAATCAGCACTAGACTGCAAAGTTTCTTCTTTGTTGTTGGGTTACTAGGCATTTACAAGTTCCAATAAACTAACAAATTTCCATTTATTGCTGCTGTAAGATTATTTCTTCCATGGCTTCTATAATTTTCTCTCAAACCTTTTCAACTTTCATGATTCTAAATTCAAGATTAGCCTGGTATGCTTCAAAATTCAAATTATTTTATGGTAAGATGTAGGATTTCTTTTTGCAGATTGATTTTGCATTTGATGATGTTGACATGATAGAGGAAAGGACACTAATCTCTGTCATCGGACGCAAGAGATTGCAAGGTGAGGAGTCCATAATCCAAGAGAAGGTGAGTTAGTTTTGTTATCTGTCCTATTTCAGTGTCTCTCTAGTCAGAGCCCCAGCTTGGAAACTTATCAGAAGACATGTAAGTATCCATGTTATTTTATAGCATTGTTGTACATTTATACAATCCATTAGGTCAAAATCTGGTTCAGTTTAGTTTATTCTGTAGCACTTACTGCCGACTTTAACTTACAGTTGGTACTAAGCATGGCTGATCATCTTGTATTCATGGTTACTGAAAATCAGTATAAATGTGGCCTAGAGGGATCTATTCCAGTTGTAGTTGAACCAGTAAGTAGCTAAATCAACCTGCTCACTACTTTCGTAATATGTGAAACCTCTATAATGAACAAAAGGATAAGAAAGATGAACTGATTAATCCTTGTATACTTTTTTAGTTGAATTGGCTGCAAACTGCCGAAGAGATTGAGGACCTATTTTTAGGTGATGCAGAGGTATGATATTTACATGTATGCATGTGTGTTTGTGTGCGTATCATTTTGAAGACATTTTGGAAAGTTTTAGACTTTTTGACTGCTATGGGCTGAACCAATGTTAGGAAAGGTCATTAATTTTGATTGGCTTAATATGAGATTTGATACTGAAATTTGTCATTCTTTCTCTAATGTGGTACCTATGTTCTTTATGAGCACACACGAACACATACATATATACATGTGTGCGTGTAGGATCCATTGACATAGTGTAAAACTTAGTTTTATACGTGTTTTTGGATCGTTGTATTTACTGGGTTTAATGGTTGAGAACTTGATATTAATAGTATTCAATGAGGAGATTTTTACGGGAAAAAATGGATCATCCTCAATTTCCCCATTGTAAATTTCAGCCATTAAACTTAGTTAATCCAACTAACTAAAAAATGTGTAAAAACTTAAAAATTTTACAGTGCAAGTAGATCATATCTCATATATGTATTGCTGATGGCTTTTAGGGAAGTGTTTGTTCATTTAACCATCTTGCTGGTTATAAGAAGCTAGCTACAAGTGAACTTTCTCATTTCCTTTTCCCTAAACCCGCTTGCCAGTTATAAGAAGCTAGCTTAGCGTTTTGGTTTTATAGGTGTAGTTAAAAAGAGCTATTCATTTGGGAATTTTGCATTGAAGATGGTGTGAAGTCATTTTTCTACTCTAATGATTTGTGAAGGTATGGAGGAGACCATCTATGGGACAAGCAGATCCGCTTGGGGGAGACTTTCCATTAGTCACCAAAGAAGGTCATAACATTATCGATGTCATCTTTACATCTCCAATAGCCAGTCTTGGTAGTATTCAGAAATCATTTCTCGTTTTGAATTTTGCTTTGGGTTTCTTTTCTAACCTGCATAATATATTTGTAGCTGAAGTTGCTGAAAGCCTCGAAAATGTCGACGGTGTCGTAGGCCATGGAGTCGTCTCTAAATTCCCGTGAGTTCCATCTTCTCTTTTGAACTTTCTTTTTTCTCGCATACACTGTGTCGTCGATGATATGCCAAAGAAAGCCGAATCGACGGACAGAACAAACACATTTTATCCGAATGTATCTGCGATTCATACGTTTAATCTAATAATGTTTCTTCTAACTCATATGATGTTGGACTTGGACTACAGTTGCAGAGCAATTGTTGCATCTGAAAGTGGATTGTCAATTGTTGATAACATTACAACAAATGCAGTTGGGGGAATTTAATCAGTTGTTCCATTGCAGCAGGTTCTCTTCTTCGGCATAGCTCTATAGATAATGTAACCTCACAAACTGAATATTAGTATGAAATTGTTCTTCTTTTTTTTTTTTACTGAGAGAATCATATCATTGAGGTTTACATTCATATATCTCTAACTATATTTATGTCATCCATTGTATAGGCACTTTCAATTTTTATTTGTTGGGGAGTAAATTTATATATTGGTAGTGTAAAGCTGAATTTTGTTACCTGGTATATGCCTATTTTCTTAATTGTGCTAACCAACAAAGGCTTAAGACTTGAAATGACATCTCTAATTTAGTGAAAATTTTATTTTTGACCTTTTATTAATTTTTTGCTTAGTCTAGCCCCTCAACTTCCAATTTATTATCACTTTATTCCTTTTGACATTTTCCAATGGTCCAATCAATTGGGGTTTTCCATTTGTAATTATTTTTTTAGTTCTTTTTAAATGTATCATTTTTAGGCCATATCATTCTCTTTTTAAAGGAAACTATTTAGGGGGCTAAAATGATAGCGATTTGAAAGTTGATGGTAAAATTAACTGAAAAATTGTAAAAGGGCTGAAGTGAATTTTACTGCAGTAGAGGGACTAAAATAGGCATTAAGCTTCGGTTAAAAAAAAAACTAAATTTTACCCTCATGTGAAGGGGAGACATGGCTCAGGGGAAAACTAAAGAAACTATTTTTTTTAACGAAAGAAACTATGAATTTAAATGGTCAGATTAAAAGTTATTGTTGAATTCAATTTGCACCAGCACCTTTAAAAGAAAAGGCTTAATAAAAAATTTAGCGCCTAAACTATACCCAAAATTAATTTTTGGTGCCTAAAAAATTTTTCGTTAAAAATATATACCTAAGGTTTTCTCCGTTACACTTGGAGGTGTTTACCGTTAGTACCTAAAAGTGTAATGGAAAAAACTTTAGACATCTATTTTTAACAGAAAATTCTTTAGATACTCAGTCAATTTTATATATAGCTTAGGTATTTACTTTTATATTAAGCCTCGAAAAAACACAAATGTTTTTAATACATAAAATATAGTTTAAATATTCAAATAATATTTATAAATAATTTATATTAGTTATTTAAAATATTAACATTTATATTTTATATATTAAAATATTACTAATGAGTCACTATAATTTGATCAAAGAAATATATGAAACTATTACTCATGTATTTTAAGAAAAATGAGGAGTTCGAACCTTATTGAGTCAAGTCTCAACGCCTCTTCGATCCTGAGTTCGTCATCTTCTCTGGACAACTCGATCCTAGGCTCATCTATCACCTTGGATGACTCGACTCCCATCTGGTAATCTTGCGACACTTCTGGCATCTTAAGTTAGTGACCCTTCGTTTTCTCGATTGTTACCCTCGGCTTAACATCTCTGACACTTTAACTTGTGCCAAGTCTGCACACATTTTCTCCAAACTCACCATCTGGTTCATCATTGAGTGGACTTTCTCTATCACTCGAGGAACAACATTCCTCATCTTTTGACTTGCCTTCATCACAGATTCCCTTGCCACTACCCTCGACTTTCGGCTTTGCTTTGGAAGTCTTGTTCTTCTTGACTCCAAATTCTTTAATGGACTCAGCGATTGTCAAGGCTTTTAGACAACTCCTTAACTTATATTCGCTCCAACACTTTCTTCGCCCATGGCTTCAATCTAAACATGAAGGTGAAGAACTCATCTTCTTGAGTCAAACTCGGGACTTTGAGCATGAGTTTTTTGAATCGGCTCACATACTCCTTAACTGTTCCTTCATGCCTGAGATGCCTCAACTTGGACCACGCCTCCATCCTCGCATACTGTGAGGGAACTTGCTCACTCTCTTCTATTATTACCATTATCCTTGAACATGGGTCTGGACAACATAATGCTAGTTGTCTTGTCTCTCGTACGCTCAGTCAGCTTTTCGGCTACAGTTATGGCTTTAGAAAGTCTTTAGGCATCACCTTGCTCTCCCTCGAGCATCACCCATGGTCTAAGTCCTTCTAAGAAGATCTTGAGCGCACCCCATTCACTCATTTCCCCCTTGCATATGAGCAGCTCCTTCTTGAGCTCATCTACCTCGCTTCTCAAATCCATCACCTCGACTTCATGGGTATTACTCCCTCGAACCATCTCTAACTCTTTGAGAACTCAATGCATATCGTCCTTGAACCTGTCCTCCATGGACTTCAATCTATCAAGGTGGGACTCTATAACATCCTAGGTCTCCTTGGCCTCTTCCTCAGTTTTTTCAAGTCTCATGACCCTCTTTTCCCACGAAGTTGAGATCTACTCCAACTTAATGAGCCTCTCCGTGTGGAAAGTAAGACCTTCAATCAAATAAGCCCATCTCTCGTCTATTGTTAGCTCATCTTCCTATTCCTCATCAAGACTCTCATCGTCTTCATGAGTGAACGTACTGTCTCAATCGAACATGCCTTGAGCTTCACCTTTGAGCCTCTATACCTTGAGATCCGGCTCCCCTTGGTGTGTTTTTATCATCTCAAGGATTTCTTGCGAACTCATCATGGCATCCCCATGCTTGGACACCAATGATGCTCTCGAGCCCATCAGACTCTCTCCTTGTTTCCTACCATGACTCTCATTGCCTTTGCATGCGGAAACTATTTTTTTCTTGTGGCCCATCTCTTACTCTTTGTCACGAACTAGTTCAATTCACCCTTGATTAGCTCGAGCGCAAATCCTTGCCAACTCTATTATGAAAGCAAATTGTTTGAACAATAATAAATCAAACTTACCCAGTTTCTTACCTTCCACCAAACACGTACGAAAATATCAATATCTGCCCAAAACAACTCACTCTGATACCACTTTTCACTATCCCTCAGAACCTTCAAGCTCAAACTGTCGCAATATCAGAGTTAAGGTCTGACGGGACGTGCGACCTTAGACGCTACTTGATGCTTATTGGTATTCTCCGTGACTAAGTAAGCCTTACCCAAGCCTAGTGAGCATGCAAACTCACCAAGGTTGGAACCAAGTCCTCAATGCTTTTACGAATGTGGAAGGTTTACCACCAATGTGACTACTCCAAGCCACCCAGGTTGAACTATGGTGTAGAAGTGAAAACACAAGTGTGAGTACTCCTGGCCACCAAGATAAGCAAAACAAAGAGAATAAAGAACAAAGAATTAGAGTAAATGCCTCAGAGAATAAATGAGAATGGATGATTACAAATGAGGAGAAGAGGCTCTCTATTTATAGTTGAGCTCCCTCTCAATCAATGACATAGATCGATTTACATCAACATATAAGATTTACCCAATTAATTACAAATCCCTTAAATCAACGAAACCCAACCCAATTACATCAATTATCAGGATTCTTTCATTGGATTGGTGTTCACACTGGATATGGTAAGATTCCACCACAATATCTTCTTGATTTATTGTCTTTTGCCATATTTAACGAGCTCATGTGATCATATTGGGATTTGATGCCACTTTGTTTTTTTGCACGACCAATGTAAACGGGCTCCAAAACATTATCCAAGTGATGGGCCAAGTCTGGTGGCCTTAGCAAGCCCAATACTCCATCTTGAACTTCTTTTTCAGACACTTGCACCAATGTCTCTGACCCAAAGATCACGGCCTGTGACATTCTCCCCCATCGAACCTAGCGACGCCCCTCGTCGCTGTAATCGACGATCATGGGCAATTCCACCTTGGATAATTCTCAATGCCTTGGCTTGTTGCGATCCTCCTACACGAACTGCTTTCCTTGGCTTCTGCCGCATGTAACTTCACAATCCCTCGCACCATACTTTACATCAACTTTGTTGCCTTTCGACTCCTCCACTTGCTCATGTCCCCCCATAAGGACTCAGTCTCCCATAATGGTTGTGTTTGCTTCGGCTCTTACTACCAAGTGATGAAATGGGCTAACTCGTCCTCAAGTACATCTCTACCGTAGGAACCCTTTCATACAAGTCTTGATTTATCTCATCTTAGACCTCCTAGCCCTGCGGCAAAGTCTTGGATCCCTTCCAAACTTTGTTTCCTCCGTACTAATTACCAGTTTTTACTCGACTTATGCTCACTAAAGATAGCAAATTAAACTCAAAATGACATTAAAATTGTGTTGAGATGTAACTTCCCCTATGATTTCATGACATTTACTCAAAAATGCGTCAGTCTTTCTTACTTCATGAAGTCTGACACTATTCACATCAAACCCTTGTCATTGGAGTTCTTTTACGTCCCATACATCAGCACTTTTTCACGGCAAAGTCTGATGTCCCTTTTTGCCTCATCCCTTCTAACACGAAGGTTAGAGCTCAATTCTCACCTTGTAAATAGGAAGTTTCTCCATAGTTGTCTTTTCCCTTAACGTCTTGACAACCTTCAACTTTTTTATATAGTCTCTGAACGACTATTCTTCACCTGAACATTCTCGGTAAGCACCTTGGACATGGACAACCCTTCCTGTACTTGCCTCCCACTCGCCTTGGCAGAAATGAACCTTATTGAGCCAAGTCTCAACGTCTCTTCGATCATGGGTTCGTCATCTTCTCTGGACAACTCGATCATGTGATCATCAATCACCTTGGATGACTCAGCTCCCCTCGGGTAATCTTGCAACACTTCTGGCATTTTAAGTTGGTGACCATTCGATTGCTCAACTCTTACCATTAGCTTAACATCTTTGACACTTGAACTTGTGCCAAGTCTGCACACATCTTCCCCAGACTCATCATCTGGTTCATCATTGAGTGGACTTTCTCAGCCACTCGAGGAACAATATTTCTCATCTTTTGACTTGCCTTCATCACAAATTCCCTTGCCGTTACCCTCAGCTTTTGACTTTGCTTTGAAAGTCTTGTTCTTCTTAACTCCAAATTCTTTAATGGACTTGGTGGTTGTCAAGGCTTTAGACAATTCCTTGACTTTCCTTTACTCCAACACTTTCTTCGCCCATGGCTTCAATCCGAACATGAAGGTGAAAAACCCATCCTCTTCAGTGAAACTCGAGACTCCAAGCATAAGTTTCTGAATCGACTCACATACT